ATTTTCTTTAAATATTATATTGTACCATTTTGTGTCCAAGAAACTGTGCTTTCGCTCATACGTACTCGTATTTACTCCCATATTTATGCTGCTCTTGAAAGCTTCAATAAACGTCTAGTATGATTTCTTGTTTTAGTAATAATTTAGTTAATTGTGGACGAAATTGATTGATTTTTACCTTATTTGAAAGCTAATATGGTAAAGAATAATATTAATTTGGTACAAATAGTCAAAGGTGAAAAATACGCGAGATGGGAGCGAAGAAATTTGAAAAAAGTGAAAAAATGGCATTTTTCCGAAGTTTAAGGTCGATGAGCGACCTCTAAACATTATCCGAATAGTCTAAAACTTCACATTTAGTAGTTTTTTGAGTATACGAATAAATTTAGGGGGTGGCATCTAAAATTCGAACACATTTTTTTGCCCCCATACATATAACGGCCACCCTAATATATATATATATATAATATAATTAACATTAAATAAATAAAATAAATCGTACATTTATTTCAAGTTTTTTAAAAGATAATTACTTTTAAATCACTGTAGCAAATTTTATTTTTCGGAACTATTAATATTAATATTAAAATTAAAATAAAAGTTAATTTCCAATTAATAAGCAAAATATAGGTTTTCTATAAAAATTCCTTATACATATTACGAGTATAGAGAAAAGACCAATAAAATTTGTAAATATTATTATTAAATTAAAAAATTTCTGTTAGTCATTAACAAAAATAGAATGATGACTAATCTTAAATATTTATAAAAATTTGGATACCTGCATTCTGAGAATTCATTTTTCGGTAATCTATGAAAATAATCTACACATCTATGAAATATTTTTTTTAATTTATATACTTTAAAGTATTATATTTCTTGTATAAAAGTATTATATTATACAAGTACATATAAAGTCTTACGTTGAGCCTTTTCCGAGTTAGCGCATCCGGGCACTTTTACTCTATGATGGCTGGGGGGTTTCTGCAGAGTCCCATCCATCCCACTGACTAATTTGAGTATTTCTCATAATCTTCGTTATTATTCAATGATTGATCTAAGATCTGCGTACCGCCCCATGCGGTACATATATAGTCAAACTTAAAAAATTATATATAAAATGCAATATAAAAATAAATTTTATTTATTTATCGAAAATACTTTCTCATGGACCTTAGTTCCTATTTTGTTAAATCTCTAGGGGGTGGTGTATGTCTTAAATCATTTCTTTATAAAATATATATAAGGCTTGCAAATTAATAGATCCGACGTTGATTGTAATATATTTTGCGTTTTATTGCTTTTCGGAGAACAGTCCATGTATTTGAGAAATTTTTAGGAAATAAGTTGTTTCAAAAATAAATTATTGCGTATTAAAATTCTATAATCGATTTTTTAACTTTGATAAGCGAATTCGTTTATTTCAACTAGAAATTTCTTTTGATTTATGACGTTACTTCTTGGAATGGGGATTTTTATATATAAAGATAATGCTATCCATTACAGTGGAATGGTAATATTATTTTATGATTCGTTGTGTACATTTCTACAAAAATAATTACTTTCTTTTTTTTTAATTACTAATAACTAAAAAAGTCTTACTTTTATTATTTTACTATTTTTTAATATGGAAGTTTTTATATCAGAAACTGATTATAAGCTAACAACCTGACTCCTTCATCTAGACAATCCATATAGTTATTACTTTTATTGCAAATTCTGATATGAATTTAACAACGCTATACGGATTAAGTTTTGATGAGATAGTACAGTGGACAATATAGTGAAAAGCAGAGTTGAACGACATAAAATTAATTTACATAGATTTTACAAACAAGAAAATATCTTATCTTTCAGACAGAATTCTTGGAAATCAAATAATGGTCAACTACGTAAAATGGCAAGAACGCGTGGAAAGTAAAGAGGATGTAATTACTTATCTCTAAAATTTTTTTCCTTTCTACTCACTGCAAATTCATCTGTTATAAGCTAATACTCAAATACTATTAAAATTTTTAAGGAACTTATATATCAACTATTGCTCTGGTATATCAAACACATTTAGTTCTATACAGTATTACATCAAATATAATATAAGACTCAAATAAATCAGTTTATTTATCAGTGTTAAGAATTGGATTCTTACTGTTTCATAGTAAGAATTTCATAGTTGGTCTATTTGATGTCTTCAGTAGACTTTTTGATAGACTGTCTTAACACATTAATTAGAGAGTCTCACTAATTTTAATATCACTGACTAGATCTTTTATTTTATGTTCTTCAGGTATGTTCTTCTTGAATAGTTGTAAATCCAATATTGACGATTAACTATAACATAGTTCAGTTAATATCACATCGGGCTTGAGTTGCTTTCGTACGTGAGTGTCCAATAGAGATATTGATATTGATCATCTATATCATAGTTTACCATTTATATATTGAGCATAGTTTTTGATATAGTTGCTGAAAGATAACTCTACATAAAAAAACAAATCAGTTAGAAATGTTTAAGGAAAAATATATATCAGTTTATACATACATCTCAACAACTTAATAGAAAATTTTTTTTAAAAAAAAAGAAAATTTATAATGTGTAACTTATTATTAGATATATTTATAAATAATTTAATTTCAACATATTTATTGCTAGAGTTATTATAATATACTTATGATGAATTTATGTACATTTTTAAACCTAAGTATAAGTAAAGGTTTTCCAAAATATAAAATCACATTTTTAAAAAGAATCCTCAAGGAATACATTAACAATTTACAACAATATAAAACACCACACAGTCCTTTTTGTAATACAAAAAAAAATTTCATTAACTAACAATGAATTATATGACTATGTCATACATTGCTATTAGTGACTGGATTATCAATAGGGATTGTAATAGCTGTGGATGTGGATGCAGCAGCAGCTGCTGCTCTAGATGTCGATGGTTCTATGTTTGTAATGTCGCATGTAAATTGTGTATTTGTTCCAATTGTTGTTGTGTTTGGCAAGATAGCTGTAACATCTCTATCAGTTTGTGTTGGCAATGCTGGGGGAGGATGTGGATCTACTTCTGAATACGGTGGCACAGTCAATGTTGTGTCTGTGGTTGCAATAGAAGTTGTTGATGCACCAATTGGTGCACCTGACGCTGTTGGTGTTGTTATATTATTAATGCGCATCACATCATCATATGATGGCAATTCTTTATCATCCTTCTCGAGTTGAGCTCGTATACGTGCGGCTTCTTCCGAATTCGGTTCGAGATAAAAGAAGTCCGCATAACGATTTGCTGCGTTATTTTCTGAGCCTTCAGAAATTGTGAAAATGTTACCCTGACGATCTGTAATATAAAAAAATAATTGATTAAAAAACAATGATTAATAAATAATCTAATAATAATTTTGATCTCAATTATAAAATGATTAATATATGTTCTATATTCTAATTTAAATTTATATTTAAATCTATATATATAAAAAACTATATTGAGAAGTAAACGGAAAGTTAGCATGGTATATTACTCTCAGAAAAAGTGACGGTATCAAAATCTCCTTTATTAATCTATCAAATGAAGTCCCCGATTAATCTATTAAAAAGAGATTAAAAAGAGTCCCCGAAGACCTTATGAAGTTTATATGTTCTAGATCAGTTCCTTTGCGAATAATATTTAAAACATAGAATTAGAATTTTTGGTAATGAATTTAAATATTTCTCAAAAAGAACACAATAGGTTACCGGTATCCAATAGCTGCCATTTGACCTGAGTAATCCAAACAAATATTTCTATCTTATATATTAGAGAGAATAAAATATTATTCTCAACAATTTTATTGATCAGTTATGAGTTTCATGTAAACATATAGCTAATCTATAATCTTATCTGTAATATAATCAAACGATAATGCTTTGATGAAGCCCAATTATATTATTACATATGAAATATGTATATACATATATATAATATAATAGACTTGACATTGAAGATGTCTACAGATACAAATATTTGTCGATTTTTAACATTAAAGGTGTCTTCAATGTTATCTTTACATAAATATTATATATATATATGTATATTGTTATTGTACTATTTTACACAGTGTAAAACTACAATCATTGGTTACAGTAGCTGGGTATATCAAAAATGTAGTTCACTTCATGCATATTAAAAGAACTGCTCCTAATGGAGCAATAGGCCTCTATATTCAACATAATTGAACTACAGTGAACTACAGTCATCAGTTACTGTGGTTTGATTGTACGTGGGACAGATAAAAAGTGCAATGAACACTGTTGGTGCCGCATGTGACACATATTAGTCTATTGCAACTGTATTAGTCTGCTTATTTTGTGTCATATTAGGCATTTTCTTTTGTAAGTATATCGCAAAAGAATAAAATAAGCACTACCTTTGATAGCAACTCTGGAAGAACTGGAAGTTTTGTTAGGCTTATATATGTTTATATGCTTAATTTCAGTAAATTAAAAAGAATTAAGTATTATTTGCTGACAGTTAACTAGAAATTTTGTAAGTATTTCTAGAAACCGTTTATGATAGACGAATTTTTAGTCTTGGCAAGCATGCGATTTGAGCTGCTTATTAGTTAAGCGGTTTTATAGAATTCGGACTAAATAAGCCAGCAGTGTTGTTGTTTCATATGTTATTTTTACAATAAGCGGTTGTTCGTTTGTAGTATGCTTACAAAAGAAAAGGCCTATTATTGATTTATTGATTGTATTAAAATACCAAATTGAGTATATTAAATATATAATGATCTAATGATAATAATTATGAATGTATACATATACTGAATATATGTTAATATATTATATTTAATAAACATATGTGTAATAAGTAAATTATAAATAAATTTAATTAATTAATAACTAATAAATGATTAATAAATTTTAAATAAAGTTAGGTGTAAATGAAGTATTTACACACATATACGTATATGAGTACATATTCAATATATATATTCAACAAATGATTAGTGAACCACATTAATTACGTTTATCACTCTTTGAGAATATTTTTTTAAAGAAGACATACCATTGGCTACTTCTCTACTAAAAGCCCAAAGTTTGTAGTAATATATTATAACCTAAAAGTATAACATTTAACAATATTTATTGTGTATATTAATTACTAATTTTTTTTATATTACTCGTGTTGTTTGATATATGAAAAATAAAAAAGCCAAAAGGACAATACAGATGAAAATAATAGGTCCAACCGTATCCATATTATTGCAATATTAAATGACTAAAAAGTTATACACATTGTTTTTTAATTTAAATGACATTAATTAAGAAACAAACAAAAAATTTAAAATATTTTATCCGTTAAACGTTTTTTATTCGATTTTCACAACTCTCTACTACAACCAATTAAATTCGTATTTTCTTTAAGAATTCAAAATTAAATATTTCAACATTTATTTTTGCATTTAAGAATCGCGTAATCAGAGAAATAATTTCGATTAAGAAAACACAAATATATTTCATTTATACCAATTTTGATTTAGCTAACAACGATAAGATAACATTAATAATCTCTGTGAAATATCAATTAATAAGCGCTTGATTAAAAATTTTTAATCGAAATGTGAAGTTAACCAATTAAAAGAGTCGTTACACTTCGGTTGAATGGCATTCTGTATTACTCATTCCTCTTACTCTTCTGAATGACTTGTCAAAATTGAAAAAGTCATATCATAATAAGAATTTTGTTTTTACAGGATACCAAGCACACCAATACCAAGTACTTTGGTATTGTGCTTAAGTATCTATACTTGTTAAGGGATGTGGCACTGCGACCATTGGGTCTATTGTGCCCCTACTGCTAAAGTAACCACAAACACATATACTTTGCTTCGAATTTTGAAATTTTGAATCACTAAAATCACATTAACTGTACCGTTATTTCTTCTATTTTGTCGCCTGGCTGCTCGTGTCCTGCGACATCTTTCACACATTTGTGCATCACGCCGGTTCCTGTGCTGATGTCTCCGACCATGACATAGCTTTCCGAGAGTTTTACTATGTATTCGCACATAATAACAAGCAAACGGTAGAATAACAAATAAAAAAAGAAATGTACAAATAAAGAAAGCCGAGAAGTTCATTTCTTCCTCATATGTAAATATTGTTTAAGTCAAATAATTTGGTTTATTTTATTTTCTCATTGTATTTTTATGAAAGAAAAAAATGATCAAATTTTTATATATTTTTCTTCTCATAAATTTAAAATTCCTTTCATTATTTATTTATTAATATAATTTTTTCTTTTTATTTTTTTACAAATTATTTACAGAAGAGAAAACACATTTGTTCAGTTGGTTTCTTTATGTACTGCGATAAAAAAGCACTGCCCATAGTTTTGCCTATAATCACCACCTATGTGTGTTCTGTATCTAATTTCTTGTATATACGCCAAATAATTTTAGTTTTAGATAAGATATTAACTGAAAGCTTTTAATACTTTAACAAATTTTTTTATTTTGTTATTCAAAAACAATAATTTATTACGAGTATTTAACACGCGTTGTATTTGAGAGCCAGACACCCAGTCACTACACTAAAACGCTAAAATGTACTCTTGAGTAGATATTATAAAAAACTATATAATTACATATGTATAATTAATTTTGTTATTTTCTAAAAGTCATGTTATTGATAGAAATATATTAGCCCAGATATTCAGTTCAAAAAATATATATTCATATATTGGAATACCTCTCAAAACATTTTTGTAATATTATTTTCTAAAAACCTAGTATTATATTTAGTCAAATATTGTATGCTTTAAATTCTACGGTGTATAAGTAATAAAGATATATACAAAAACTTGAGAGTTGAGAGTGTACAAAAGTACATCAAAATCAAACACCTGAAATTAATTGTTTATATGGATTCTCAGACTAATTCAGGGCTGTGCTTTCTTAAAACAAATGCAATCTATATTTCAACAGGAAGACATGCTGGGCTTCAAAGTATGTCCTAACTGTTTATCATAATTCAATGGAGCATTTCTTACAGCTGATCACTCAAGTGCTCACAGACAATATTAAATGAAGGTGCTTTAAACACTAATTCGCGTTTCATCAAAAAGTCATATCGAAATATAATATTACAATTAATTTTTTTTTTTTTTCTTCTTTGCATATAACCTAATTTCACTTGGCTTTAGGTTATTTGTTAATATAAAAATTAAATTAAATTAAAATTTATTTAGTATAATTTATGAATCATTATTTTAAGTGAAGACGGTCAGCAAGGTAGACTGATATATTTACAGAAATATACTTAAAATTTAAAATAAAATATATTTAACAATAAATTCCGGAAATATAGTGGTAAAGATGACAGCTAATCCAGAGAGTTCACGAACAATAGAGTCTTATGTGATTTAAGCCCTCAAAACTAAAAAATTAGACCTAAAAATGAGAACCAGAAACTGGTATAATAAATAGTGCAGACACCAAGAAAACGCGGTGAAAAAATGAAGGTCTGAACGCAGATCGAAAATCACAAGTGCATGGCTTGAAATGTCAACATAAAAGAGACCCTTCCCGAAGTCATGCGAAAGTGGTTCCGAGGGAGAATAAGTCTTGCTGAAGAGGGGGTGTTTTAGTCCTTATACTACATGTACAATGTTAGGGAGTCAAGATATGTTAGGGTATGGATGATATTAGTATTGCATTTTTACATGTAGAATATCACATAACATAATTTTAAACACGTATTCAAAGTGCTTAATATTTAAGCTGATAACAGCAATGACAGTGTATACTACTATATATACAGAGTTGTCAAGCTATATTAGTTGAGGTATTTTCAAATTCTTTTGAAGAAAGAAAGCCATCATTATCTTAAATTTTTTAAATATTTTAAAATATTTTTAAACATAATATGTATAATTTTTATATAAGTATTTATTATACATCATATTAATAAAGATGTATCCATGTTGTGTTTATTTTTAAACAATTCCCTTTTTTAATTATACTTGTATTTTATATAAAAACTTCATAAAAGAAGACTTGACAATATTGTTACCATTTTTGACAATTTTATTCCGTAGATAATCTAATAATATCTTAACATTGAAAATGTTTTAACAAACATATTCATTGGAAATTATTTTGTTAAATTATGTATCATTATTTTCCGCTTTCTTTTCTTTGTCATGCTCATAGTGCTGTTTGCTGGCACTGTCACTGCTGTCTATTTCCATATACATGTATACTTGAACTAATTAAATTATTGTCTGTATGTAAAGGTGCAGTAGAGCGATATATTTCGCAATTTATGTGAATTCAATTCATATGAGCAATTCAAATGTAGTAAATATAATATAACATTTACAATAATAATACGTGATAATACATTATGTACAATGCACATTATTAAGGGAAAACGATTTCCATTTGGAATCGTTGCAAATATTTGAGATTTTAAAAAATATAAAACAAAAAGAATAAATAAATTGAATAAATAAAAATGATAAATAAGTTATTATAAACAATATTGAACAATATTGTTATTATATTGAACAATATTTTCAAACTTTAAAAAGGACATACACAATTAATTAAAAAATATGTGAGCATATCGATCAAATTCTTAAATAAATGATTATTTTTTTAACTTTTATGGTAGGAAAAAGCGAATATCAAGTGTTGTAATTAAATATTCATGTGACAGTTGTTTTCATTTGGTACAGTTTGATTTCGATCCAACACATAGTCAGACAAAGGAGTTAAAAAACATACACACACACACATGTATTTCAGTTATATATGTATCATTATTGTTTAATAATATAATTTTTTTTTTGAGTAGTTGATATCAATTAAAAATAGATGTTTTTAATTACCCCCCTACAGTACATAGTAAATTTCTGATTACGGACCTGTCTTCGATAACATTATCTTCAAGATTATTCGACGACGATGTCCGTATTACTAGACAATTATACAAATAATGAAGTGAACTGAATATGTATAGTAAATAAAAATAGAAATATAAAATAAGAAAAAACAACTACATTCAACAGTGAATTAGTTCTCGTAGGCATATGGTAAATAGTAGAACGCAAAAAAAGTTATTACTTATAACAGAGTATACACAACGCAAAACAACAAAAATGCAAACAACATATATGCAATCTGATCACTGAATACTTTGCACACCAAGAAATGCAAGCAAACGCTTAATGTTTGTGTCAGCTGATAGAAAATTTCTTCTCTATTTACGTCAAAAAACCAAAATTCAATTGGCTGTTACGTTTTCTCCTATTTCATCGGCATAAATAAACTAATACATTGTTTTTTATAATATTGAACTGATTTTTAACAGCATAACGACTTCAGTCTTAAGACCGTACATTTTATTATTGCGCACGACATAGGCGCATTCAGTCCCCAAGCATATACGCTAAAATTATTGAGTATTCATGTCTTACTCATTTATATCAAAAAATATTAACAATGACTTCTATAAATTAGAATCGATCGATATTTTGTATTACGAATTGACTAGGTTGTTATCTATTTTTATTATTGTATGTAATGTTTTTGGCTGGTTTATATATAATATGTTGGCAAACAAAATAAACATATTATTTTTGTAAGACATATATTTTGCAAAGTTGTTTTTTTTTTTTTGAATATTAAAAATAGCTACAAAATTATATATTTAGATTTTAAGTTAAGTAAAATATTTGATAAATGTGATTTTCTTTTTGAATCTAAAGACAACTGATATATTTAAATTAATTAATTAAAAAAAAAGTCAAGCATTTGTAAAATTTTTAAAAATCTTTCTAGTAGCATATAATATATTGTTGTTTGAAACGTTTTTTTAAAAGTAAATAAAACATATATACCATATAGCTAAATGTTAAACTTAACAATGATCCAATTCATCATATCAAAGTTGCTAAGGATATGTCAGGTAGATGATCGTATCATAGTGTATCATCACTAAATGCTGTTGCCCTCAAAGCTCTCAAGTTTTAATTTAACTATGAATTTATATTTAAATCCATAATTTATTTTCGTTATTTCTATAATAGTGTAAATATTTTTAAAAGTTATGTATTTTATACAAAAAGAATTTAATCACATTGAAAGCAAGAGAAAATGTGATATTGCATTTCCTTAAACATGTTTTAAAAATAGTTTAAGCACTAAAACAGCTTCTTTGGAGTTAAACATGTTTATCTAACCTTAAACAGGCTAGAAGGTTATAAATCACAAAATAATACGAATAACGTAAATTAAATTGTATAGCACTTTCTCGTTACCTTTAAATAGTACAATATATTGACTTCTGTGTTTCTGTTTAGAGGCACAGTACCAATTTCGATTTCATATAAGTAATATAAGTAAGGAGCTATAACAACAAAACTTCTTTTTATATTATTTTAATTAATTTATTTAATTGGCTGATCATACAGCTGTTTCTAGTATTGCCAAATATAGCCCATCATCAGTGGTCTTGAAATTATTTCTTATATTTAATTATTTGTAAATAAATTTTTGTGACTGCAAGTACAAGGGATTGAACTTATGCCCTGCCAATTTTAAAGTTCAGAGTCAGCGCTCCTTAACCAACTGACTCAAAGCCGTACTTGATTTGTGTTTTCACACATTTTTCTGGAGTTTTGTTAATTTGCTGTGAAAGTTTATTAACTAATTCACTTGCTGTGAATAATTATATTTGAATAATTATGTGAATAATTATATTTATTTTTACTTTTTAAATTTGAACACTATTCTGATTCTGTTTTATTTAATTTAGTTTTTAACAAAAATAATTGAGCACATACCATAATAGGTTTGAATTAACCGACGTCGTGGCCTATGATTCGTTGAATTCTGATTGCGACTACAGCATCGAATTCCGCAATATTCCAGTAAAAACCAAAGTATTAACTAAAAATTGTATTAAATTTTAAATAATTTTTTCTCACTTAGTTAAGTTATGAATTTACTCGTATGTAAATTCACAGAAAACTATTTAATACCTTCATGCAAAAGTAAACAGCTGGCATCACGAGAAAAATGACAAAAAACGTGGCAATGTAGATTGTGAAGATATCCATTTTTATAAAATTGTTTAAAACAAAATGAGCGATAAATAACAAAAAGAAAAACTCCGTGACACGAGTATTTCCCACTTTTCTTAAAAATTCAATATATTTTTATTTAAATTTTTTAAGTCGAATTTTTAATCTTATTATTATATCACATCTTCGCTGATACTTGATTGCATCTATATATATCCGCACATATATATATATTATATTCTACGAGTATTAATAACATTTTAACATATTTTTGCAATTTATTATTATATTTTTATTATAAAATTTTTGAAGAAAATGAAAAACACATTTCAACTGCAAAATAGCGAATTCAGTGATTCTGAAGTTGCGTGTTGTAATAAACTATGAAAAAATGAAAAAACTGTTTCAACATTTAATGAGAAATAAATTTTCGTAGTTTTTTTATTTATTTAATAATTACAATTTTATTACTCGTTTTTTTTCTGTTGTTTGCGAATGTCAATTCTGTGTACAAAGTAGAGAATCAAATGTGTAAAAATAAAAAAATTAAATAAAAACACTTGAAAGATATTTTAAAACGGTTAAGATATCTGCTTGCGAGTCGGGAGACAGGGTACAAAACGTTGCGGAGAAGATTTCTTTATCAGACTGAAAAAGAGCTGATAAGATTAATGTGGACTTGGTACGAGCTACCTATACGCCACTTTGTTGGCATTATTTGAAAAGTTAATATTACTGACTTGCCCAATATTCACGTCATAATCGGTCTCTTTCTTAAGAACCAAAAGACATGAAAGTAATACCAGTTTTTTATTAATTATAAAATTAATTAATTAATTGTAGTTATTTTTAGTATAGATATATTTAATTGAGAATATAAATACTATTTCAATAAAAAGTTCATTAATTGATTACTGCATGTGATTTTATACAAAAGTGTATATCTTTTATATATTCGTATAAGTTCAAGTAGTTAGTTCTTTCTTTATCAATTTACCTATTAGACTTAAATTGATTCAATAGAAAATGAATGGCATGGGCTTGGTAATCTAGGAGATGACCATAGAAACTATTGCGAAACATTAGTTTCGAGATATCTAAATATTTTTAAAAAACCATGGTGTGTAATTCGGAACCGATTGATGTTTTATGAGTGAAGGTTTAAAAAAATGTAGCTTGGGAAAGGTCATAAATTTTGTAAGAAAGGCTATTATACATATGCATTCTTATTCTTATTATTTTCGCCTTATAAATACATTGTAATAATAATAATAAAAACATTGTAAATACACCAAGGAAATAATAATAATTCTTATTAAAGAATTTAATAATATTTAATATCTGACATACTTTAAAACCTTAAAACCAAAACAGAGTACTCTGTACTTCAATACAGAAATCTAATACTTTTATTTAATTACTCTCTAACTTTGAATTACAGATAAGTTATATGTTGGTTGCATAAAGAAAGTAAATAAAGAGCATCTAAATCTAATCTAAATCTAAGTATTTATAAAAGTATTTATAAATACTAACAAATTGATTTAAAAGTTTTTGGTGTGATATATAAACACAGAAAAAATTCTTTATTTTAGGCAAATTTTGACTTTATTTGATTCTAAAGCAATCATTCCGCAGCTTTAATATTTATACAGATTTCTTGTAAAACGACTTGTTCAGATTTTTCAAATAGGCTCCTATCTAAACAATCACCAAAATATTTGGCCTATTTGGAAAATTTTTGTATTTAAAAAAAATTTTCTGAATTTTCTAAAATTTATTTCTTTTAAAATCGATTTAAGGGTTAAGAATAGGTAATGGATACAATCAGAAAAATTTGTACTTTATTTTAGAAAGTCTCTAGTTATTTATTTTAAAAACTTTACAATTTGAATTGAGTATTTCAGTTTATAGTAAATAAACTTTTCGATTTAGATAGTAACTTCTATAATATTAAGTCCAAACTAATTGATAGGACAATCAATGCGATATCCTGTAAACTAGATGCATTTAATTGTACCTATATAGTAAGTTCTCTAGAACTTGAGTCCTAAGAGATTAGCATAATCGACGGAATAAAAGTAGTTGTGATTTATTAAGTTTTTGAATTATTGAAGTTTTTGAATTATGGAGAGAAAAATTCGAATTAAATTTAAGGACTTAATTAGAGGAAACACCTCTCTATAAATATCATCACTATGTTATTGAACACTACATCCGTTATTTATAAGAACGGATGCAAGAAGAGACATACACATACTTCTCTACTGTGATTAGTCCACAGGTGAAACACGTAAGTAAAAACTTATAGAGGACTGGACAAATGACTTTTAAATATCTATTGTAGTCTCGCTAAAAAATGCAGACGTACATTAACCTGGTTGTTAACTTGTAGTTATATTGTTTTCAGTTATGTTATATTTACAGTTATTTATATTTTTTATTTTTAGTGTTATTTTTATATTTCCAATTAGTTATTTTTATCAGTTTGTGAATGAGGGTTCTTAGTTCTTTTATATATGTACGTTTATTTTATAACATATCATATGTTACAAAGCACATATGTATAGTATTTTTATTTCATAGTTTACAATAATGCAGATGTAGAAATTCGATTTATTGCAATTCTCCGGACCTTACTTACAATAAATCGTATACTAAAAATTACGAGGATTAGAAAAAAAAAAATATCAGAGAGACATATACAAGTCAATATGTAAGTCAATATGTAAATAAATTTGAGACTATGTTGGTTGTTACAATGCCAAAGTTTTATAAAACTACATACTGTTTAAACTTACTTAAAAAAAAAAATGGATGAAATTTTTTCTAAAAAGAACCACATGGTGAGAAAGGTTTTGCAAAGGGAAGATACAAAAATGGTGACATACTCCACCGAAAACCTAAAAAAACCCCACTAAAAGTGATTAGATTTACTGACAAGTTGTTTTCAAACTACTCATGATGTGAGTTCATCATGATATCTATATACTAATATTAATTTTATATATTATATATATGTATACGTATATGGTATGTCAACTAAATGCAAACCATCTCATTTTATTTGGTTCTATGCAGTTGAAACTGAATAAAAACTGGTAACAGATAAAACACCATTGTTATAAATTATAAAATAATATGTTTAAAAATGTTTTTAGAACTACTACCTTTAATTTCAAAGTATGATAACTAAAAAGATAGTGTGCTCTATTGTTATTGAAATGTTTTTGTTATTTCATTCTATTATTAAATTATCTCTCAACTAAAATGTAAGGAATATTTTAATAAATTTTTTTAAGTGTTAATATAAACACTTATATCTATTAGGTATTCGCACTCACAAATTCCATAAAAAACTATATTAACTATCTGTATACCCCATTATAAGTAGTTAAAGATCATGAATATTTCCTATTGTTACTCATAATAAACTATTTATGTTTTAAATGTATAAAAAAGAACTAATTTTTTTTATTTGAAGTGATTATATATAAGTATGTAATGTCAGTATATATTAGTATATAATATATATAAATTTGTTTATTAATATATGTAATATCTACACAGATGATAAGAAGACTGAGATACACATGATCAATAGATAAAACATTATTTTAAAAGGCAGTTTCTAATTTAAATTAATAAAAAATATTTTTTAAAGATGTTACGTTATTAATATTATTTCTTTTAAAATTTATTTTTTATTGATATGGCAAAAAATTAAAACTAAAGAAATAAGTAACTATCGTGTTGATAATACGTTGTAATGCAACAGGTCATTATGGAATTTTGTGTAGAAGGCCGTAACCCCAACCTAACCTCACATCCCTTATATTATGTATTTTAGTTTATTCTATATAGTTATACATACATTAATTTCCTCCTCAAATCCCGCCTGTCATATGTGATGCAATGGTAAAGATTCTATGAACTTGTTTATTCTTGAATTCTTCTTGAAGTCACAGCGTTCTAGATTATCTTGGTTGTATGATGAGCAAATCATCGCCCTGTATTTTTTATTGACAGAACATAGTTACTGTGACTCTGGTGTTATTAGTTTTTGACAACATATTTTCTGATTAAAATACAGAACTTAGTTTACTGGTTATTCAAATTGCATGGATTACGTGCTTTCTAGCTTTACCACTAAATTCAAATGTCTGTTACATTCAGTATATCATTTACTATATTGCCACATTTAAACTAATGAAATTTCGGTAGAACATAGTTACCATAACAATTGTCCGAACATTATTGTATTCTGATAATATTTTTCCCGATTATATAAACGATACACAATTTTAAAAATTATAAAAGTAATAATCTTTAAAAATAACTGGAACTTGTCAGAATTTCAGGATGTCACTTTTTAAATATCATATGATTCTCTTAACACTGACGGTATTTATATGTATATGTTTGTAGATCTATAAACTCTCTTATTGAGTGGCTAAATAGAGGTATCCAATATCTACAGTAATGAGCTCGGTAATCGAGTAAAGTGGTAATACTACGAACTATTAACAATAAAATCCATATACCCTAAGTATATATATGTATATACTTTTTGTACTGTTACTATGTTAGTCTGTTACCGAGATCGTTAAACAAGATCGTGAATGCTCCTAATTAAATAACTTATAGTAGAAACACACAATTAGCAGAATGAAATGGAAACATCACATCTTCGGAAGTTCCGAAGGAAAATGCACTGCTTGAGATCCTAACCTCAATAGAGAATATGAAAACTATGCAGTGCAGTTAAAATATTTTACATTACAAACGGTCGTAACAAACCTAGTTATTTTTTTTTTTTTTGAAGAAATCAACTACAATCTTCTATCGTCAAGTAATGGCGATGATTGCCGATGATTTACACTAAAAACAGAGCCGATCTATTTAAATTT